GGAATTCAACAAGCTACATCCCCAGAAAAATGAAAACGTGAAAAGGAGCCTCAGGAGGTGTGGACAAAGTAGGCCCACTGCAACGGGAGCTTGGACCTCCAAGAGGGACTCAGTCTCCATGGGTTAGAGCCCCAGGTTACATGCAGTGGAAGGGAAATCCGGACAACAGCCAGCGGAAGTGGTTTTATTGCTGTAGACTCTAACTTTGGAGAGCTGGTGTGAGTGAAGATTTCTCTCCACATGGGAGTTGCTACAGTCTGAGGAGGTTTCTTCATTACCTTGTCCTAATTCCTGAGTGGTTTCTATCAAAGTAAGTGGGTTACTGCAAGTTTTGATTGAGTGAGGTGCTTATAGGTGAACAGTTAAGGATTCAAATGATGGTATGTTTGCAGTGGCTGAATCAGAATTTTTTTTTTTTAATTTACAAATTTGAATTAATACATGTAACAGGTAGATGATAAGGAAGGCTATTAGTTATAACCCTCACTTTCTATCCCCTGAGGTAACGGTTTGGTTTGTTCTTTGTAAACCTTCTTCTATATAGCATAAATATTTTATTTTGAATGTGTATTTAAATTGGCATGAGTACGAAAAAGTTGAATTTAGATTATTTTATAGCTATTTCAAAAAGACTGGATTAAATTGAATGGAAATTGGGTGGTATGAAAATTATGTTCTGCTTGACCAAGAGTTACTACCCAGTCCCTGTCAGGTGGTAGAGGCAGAAAGGAGGTAGGGCCTGGTCAGCTTATGGGAGGCTAGGGATGGAAAGAGGGGTCTGGAAAGGGAGAATAGAAAGGCAAGTTGAGAACTCCACTCAACAGGACAAAAGGACCAGCCTCCCTCCCCCATTCCCTATCTGCATATTGTGTTGATTTTGGCAGAGGAAGAAATAAGGGGACCAGGTTTGAATCCCGGCTGTGATTTTTAGTGACTTAATTATCCTTTTGAAGTTACCAACCCTCCATAAATTTGCTTATTTGTAAAGGGACTTAGTAATATTTCATAGTTATTTTATAAATTCTTTTTTCCGTTGTTGAGACAGTTTTTGCTCTTGTTGCCCAGACCGGAGTGCAGTGGCTTGATGTCAACTCACTGCAACCTCTGCCTCCCAGGTTCAAACTATTCTCCTGCCTCAGCCTCCTGAGTAGCTGGGATTATAGGTGCCCGCCACCTCGCCTGGCTGATTTTTTGTATTTTTAGTAGAGACGTGGTTTCACCATGTTGGCCAGGCTGGTCTTGAACTCCTGACCTCAGGTGATCACCTGCCTCGGCCTCCCAAAGTGCTGAGATTACAGGCGTGAGCCACCACTCCCAGCCTATTTTATAAATTCTTTTTTTTTTTTTGAGATGGAGTCTTGCTCTGTCGCCCAGGCTAGAGTGCAGTGGCTGGATCTCAGCTCACTGCAACCTCCGCCTCCTGGTTTTAAGCATTTCTCCTGCCTCAGCCTCCCAAGTAGCTGGGATTACAGGCGCCTGGCTAATTTTTGCATTTTTAGTAGAGATGGGGTTTCACCATCTTGGCCAGGCTGGTCTCGAACTCCAGACCTCATTATCCACTCGCCTCAGCCTCCCAAAGTACAGGTGTGAGCCACCACGCCCAGCCATAAATTCTTAAGAGTTAAATACATCTAGCCCAATGCTTGGTATAGTGGTCATTCTCTTCCTTCAGTTCTTTCCAAGTAGGGAGTTTGAATTTGAAAGTTAGGTAACTTGTCAAAATTCATTTTTAATGGTACATAATTAGATACCTTTGCCTTTTTAAAAGGGAATGTTTTATAGATTAAATCAAGGAAAAGATCATTGATTATATGGCAGTATTTCTCTGGGATCAAGTCAGTTGCGTATTTGTTGACCCTTATAAAGATCTGGATATTAATTGATAGTTACAGGAAGCAAAGTTATGTTACATTTTGCAGATAGGTTCTGTGTGTCAGTCACTGAAATTAATTTGATTAGAAACAAAGGTTTGACCAAGTAAGATGGGAATTGTATGAAAACATATTTTAATCTCAGTTTTTAAACATACAGTTAAACTCTCAATAAAAATGAGAAAGCTGCAAGATTTTTAGAAATACCTGTGGGGGAAGAGGAAGATGAGGAGGATTTTAGCTTAGAATTCCACAAACCTTGGCTACCTTCATTCAGACTTAGGTTTTCATTCAGAAGACTAACTTGCTTTTCCCATCCTCCTTCCTTTTTTGTCATGTAGAATGTATTAAATTAGTGGGGGAAAGACAGAAGATTAAAGAAAATAAAAATTACAGATTATCCCCCTTCTCAGAGAAAACCATTTTTGACATTTTAATCTATTTAGTTTCAGATTTTTCTCTTATATTCATGTATTCATATACTTAAAACAAAAATGATATACTTGAAAAATACTTTTTATAAATGCTTTTATTCAGTCATCAATGTGTTAATTCCTTTATGCTGATAAATGTATTTCCACAACATCTGATTATTTTTGCTGTCTTCTAATTGCAGAAATAATGCATGTTTATTGGAAAACATTTTCACGTATATAGTTATATCTAACTGGAAATAAATCTTGCCGTATAATCTAATTAATCATTTGTACCACAGTACTTTTTAGTGTCTTAGGTTTCAGCTCTATAAGTGGACCATAATTTACTGAGTTCATTCCGTATTGTTTGCCATTTAGCCGTCAATTGGAAGCAATTTATAGTAAACCACACTGCTGTGAACATCTTTGTATATACATCTGGGTACAATTGTCCAGTGATCTCATCAGAATGAATTCCTACAAGTGTATGTGCTGGTTTGTTTGTGTATATTTTAAAGTTTTTTTGTTTGTTTGTTTTTTGGTCAAGTGTGGCTAAATTTCTTCCAAATCAATTTGTTTTCTGCTTGGCAGTGTTTTGGGGCAATATCTGTTTTTTTCCACTCCCTTTCCTATCTTTAAAATTTTTTTGTGTGCCCATTTAAAAGGTTAAAAGTGTTTTACTTTCAAGTTATTTTTTTAATAACTAAGATTAGTATTTTTATGAGATTTTGGCTGTGTGTATTCGTTGTACTTCTTGATCTGTTTTTAAAAATTGAAGTGTCATCTTTTTCTACAAAAGCAAGTATTACTTTTGCACGTCAGTCAGTGTGACTTAGAAGATGCCTTAGTCTCCTTTGAAACAAAATGAGCTATGTACGAATAAGGAATTGACTCAGCTGTAACAATTTGCTTTTTGCAAATGGCTATATTGACCTGAGAGCCAGGAAGTTCTGGCACAGCCTGTATTTTCATCCTGAAGCAGGTAGATAGACTCCAGCTACCTTCTGAACTGTATGGTTTTCTTGGCAACTATCTGCGTTGTCTCTGCAGTCTCATTAGTCTCAGTAGCTGTGCCAGTATTTGGGTGGGGAGTGAGTGGTATCTGCCATCACTGCAGTGAATTAAAATGAAACATACTATCCCTGAGCCCAGGGGCAGTTTATATTGCAGATGGGGGGAATAATGCCTGTGTAAGTTACTGTGTACAGATACTCTCCTTCGTACCTGTGATGATTAAAGTAACTACAGTGCACCTCCTAGCATGGTACCTGTACATAGTAGGTGCTCATTAGATATTGGTAGTTCAGCTGACTAGGATGGTCAAGGAAGGCATGGATAAATAGAAGACAGGCAGATCTGAGTTGAAGCCCGTCTTTATGACAGTCAAACAGGTGACTTTGGGAAAGTTATTTAACTTAGGAACTTCAATTTTTCACATATTCAAAGGAAAGATAATAAACCTGCTACATAGGGTTAAATGAGATAATATGCTAGGCAAGTAGCATTATGCCTAGCTACTTTCATCTTTCAAGAGGAAGAAGGCAGTGTTAGTGCCTGGTAAGGTGGATGCTGCCCCTTGGCAATCATAGGCTTAGACACCCAGGCATTCCCAGAAGAGCAGCACCCTCACCATCAGCAGGGGGAATGGGAGCTTTGTTTCAGAAGAAAAGGTGCAGTAAAGAAAGGTGATTAATTTGGGTAGGGGAGGGAAGAAGGCATGAGTGGTGGGAATCGTGGGGAAGAAATGGAAACAGCTAGATTATATCCTTTCTTCCTAAAAATAAAGTAGGAGGCTCATTTCTTTTGCCCAGCACGTCTGCCAGCCAGTTGATTCTGCAGTTCTGTTTCAGTGCCTACTCGGGTGTTTTATAGTCTGGTTTTGGGGAAACGTGTATATGTATATATATATGTACAAAATTAAAGTTAAAAATAGTTGCCAAATAGATGTTCTTTAAAAATGAAGGATGATAAATAAGTGCTGGAAGCATCTGTGGGAGGAATTGGTGTAGGTGAGAAGGGAAGGCTTCTCGCAAGAGGAGATTTCATTTGACTTCTAAAAGGGGTTGAGGTTTTGGTCCTTTTCTTTATGAAGGGCACTGATATTTCCCAGAGTCTGTTCCATCGCCCTTTTGTCCTTGCAGATGCTCTGGATGGAGCAAGCTTTAAGGGTGAGCTGAGTTTGCAGAAGCATCATATCCTGTCACCCATGTGCCTGATTCACGATGCTTGTTCATTCCTGAAGTCTCTGTCAGCCCTGTGAGGAAGGAACCTGCTGAACTCCATTGCCTGGCAAGGCCAGGACGCCATACTTGGCTAGTGGAGCAACCCAGAAAGCTTGGGATGTGGGTGCTGCTGAACAACACTGCAAGCTGTTTTCTTCTAAGTCACACTTTACGGAGCATAGTTGTTATTTGTCTCTGTGTACATATTTGTAAGCATTTGGAGATACCAAGCATGTTAACTATAGCTTTTTAAGTTTGGGGGGGGGGGAGAAAAAAACAAGCCTAAATAGAAAAACAATGAGATTTACACAGTTTTGAATTTCAATTTTCACCTTTTTCTTTTCTCTGTCACTTGTTTTGTTTTTATGAAATGCTTTATAATGGAGTACTTGCATATAATGAAAATGAATTATCCTTAAAAGTTAAAAATGGAAGCATTTTAAAGATATTCCAATTTTAACAATAGTTTTTTATTTCTCTTCATTCTCAAGGTATATTACCCAAATTTGGGATGGATGTGCATTGATGCCACTGATCCAGAGAAGGGAAACTGGCTGCGGTATGTGAATTGGGCTTGCTCGGGAGAAGAGCAAAATTTATTCCCACTGGAAATCAACAGAGCCATTTACTATAAAACTTTAAAGGTAACAGTGTTAGAATTAATTTACCATTAGTTACTCTGCTATGTTTTCCTTGTTTTTTGAGACTGTCTCATTCTGTTGCTCAGGCTGGAGTGCAGGGGCTCCATCACGGCTCACTATAGCCTAAGCCTCCCCAGGCTTGGGTGATCCTCGGACCTCAGCCTCCTGAGTAGCTGACACTACAGGCACATGCCACCACTCCTAGCTAATTTTTGTAGAGACAGAGCTTTGCTATGTTGTCCAGGCTGGTCTCAAACTCCTGGGCTCAGGCGATCTACCGGCCTCAGCCTCCCAAATTACTGGGATTACAGGCACAAGCCACAATGCCTGGCCCTGCTTATGGTTTTCTAACGCTGTCCTTAGTTGTGACTGACAATGACTTTGCACACCTTGAAAGGATTATATTTGGAAGTGCTTCATCCACGCACTCAAGGTTCTGTGTTTTAAATATGTGGTTGCCCATGTGTGTCAGGGAGCTAAATCATGAAGATCGTTACACACTGCTCCTTTAAAGATACTGATGAGTTACGCAAGTGGCAGCTGCTTCCCTCCTCCTAAGACACAGAGGCATTAGGAACTGTCTGACTGGCAGATTTATCCAACTGTAAGAAACCATCGATAGCTATCGTAGGTCTGTGTTAATTGAATACACATTGTTAGTCTTTGATATTAATGCAGCCTTGGATTAGCTTTTCTTTTCCCTAAATTTTACTCAGAACATCTTTCTTCCTTCTGCCACATTTTCCTTGGAGATATTGATTGTTGAAAAGAAGAAGAAAGTCATGTTTTAAGACTGGTAATGAGGTTATGTTTTAGGACTGGTAATGAGGTTATGGAGCACTTTCAGAGACATAAGTATTAGGAAGTGTTGAGTGTTGCTGCATTTCTTCGTTGACCAAGGCCATGTCTCTCCCTCATTTTCATGTATCACATTCTTGAAGAAGACAGATCCTCACATTATACCTGGAGATGTTCTAAGAAGAATCTCGAGCCTGTTAAGATGGATGGTTGTTGCTTTTTGCAACAGATATGCAAACTTGCTATAAGGCAAATTTCTCTTTATTCACTTACTTCCATTAAAAATGTCATAGATTGGAGAATGGTCTATGAAAAAAATTATCTCCATAGAGTTGAACACTTGGTGAGCACACATTTCAGATAGTGGCGAGCTTTGCGGCGTGCTGGGTTTTGCTAGTGTGGTGGCAGTAGCCTTTGGGAAGTTGAATTAACATGTAGCTGTTTAATTTTCCTTTGCTGCAGCTTTCCTGACATGGTTAGCCAACTAGACTGCCTTTGACCATGCTTATACCCAGGTCCTTGCATCCAATCCCTGCAGGAGATTTTTTTTGATATACTTTCTTATTTAGAACTTTAAAAACCTTGTTTTCCATTTCGTTCTGCTGGATTGTAGTAGCATGCTTTTCTAGTAGGTATTACTCTACAGTTTTCTTATATCGAAGTTTGAAATTGGATACAAGAATGCATTCTGTTTCTCAAAAGTATTTAAAGTGAGAAATACATATAGTTGAATCAGTGAGGTAGAACCCCAGTAGAGATGAAATACTAGTTAGGGGATGAATATGAGACAATCAAGGTAATAGGAAAGAAGTTTTGAAGGCATGCAAGCCCATGTAGACGTTAGGACACTGCAATCCCTTCATTATACATCAAGTTAAAATGTGTTCATCTCTGGTGCAAATTCCACTGAGTAGCAAGATAGAATAGTGCCTGGGAGAGTGAACTCTGAAGCCAGACTGCCTGGGTTAGATCCTGACTTGCTGTGATCCAAGGCAAGTAGATGTGACCTTACTAGTTTTGTAACCTTAGCTAAGCCCCACTCCATGCCTCAGTTCCCTCATTGTAAGATACAGGTAATTATGGCATTGACCTCATAGGGTGGTTGTGATGATTGCATGGGTGAATACGGATAGAGCTCCAGCACCTAATAAATGCCAATACATGATTGCTGTTATTTTTTACAAGGTGGTATGGTGTCATGGTCAGGAGTGGGGACTCTGGAGCAGACTCTCTTGTGAGCAAATTTTGGCTTCTAGATATGTGACCACGCAAAGGTACTTAATCTCTCTGTGTCTTAGTCTTCTCATCCATATAATGGAGGTAATACTAAGACTGTTTCATAGTTTGTTGTGAAGGTTAGTTAAACAAGTCAATATACAGAGGTTCTGTGAACAGTTCTTAGTCCAGTGTAAGTCCTCAAGTGTTAACTAGCTATACTAGTACTATTACTTTTGTCTGAAATAACGTAGTTCTGATTTTTGCAGACCACCCCTAATCTTGATCTTCGATATTTGCTCAAGTATGTACAAAGCCTTTCACATTTTTTACTAGTGATTATCTAACTCTGTTCTTCTAGATTGAGTGTTCCGTAGGTTAGGTTGTGTGAAGAAATTACATGTGATGCTCTCTGGGCTCTGTATCACCTTGTCACCTTATTATTACACCAGAAAATTGGGAAATCTCAACATTGGTTTTGTTTGTAATATGGTTAAAAATGATTTAAATTCCTGAAAGTTAGCTGTTAACTCTGCTATCCGTTCACTCCTCTGTTTGTGAGTTTGATGAATATTTATTGCGAGTCTACTGTGTACCGAGTCCTCTCCTACAGTGGTGAACAGGACAGACAAGGTCTCTGGTCTGGTGGATCTTCTGTGTTATAGGGGAAGAGGCAGAAAATAAACAAGTAAATAAGAAAGTAATTTCTGGTGGTGATTGGTGTGTTAAGACAGTAAAATGTGATAGAGACTAGCTAGGTAGGAGAGGGCTGCTTTGTCTCTAGTGAGTCAGGGAGGGCCTTTCTGAGGAAAGATGTTTGAACCCCAGTCCTGGGATAGGAAGGAGACAGCCACGCAAAGTGCTGCTGGAAGAGCAATCCAGGAAGAGGAGTGGTAGGAGCAAAGGCCTTGGAGGAGAAATAAGCTAATGTTTTTGGTTTGTTTTTTAAAGGAATAGAACAAAAGCCCATGTGGCTGGAGGGAGGAGGAGAGGAATCTTAGGAGATGAGGCTGGTGAGGTCCACAGGGATGGATGAGTTTTAGGGTTAAGTGCTGTTCCCCCATTGGAGAGCTGAGGCCAGGATCTGACCTATGACTTTTTAAACTGGACTGTAGGTGGGTATGAGTGGCTGTACTTTGTGTGTGTGAGTGATCCTGGAACATGTCTCTCATTTTCTAATATTTTTTAGATTTAGGCACATTTTTCTAATATTCCTTACCCAGTACGGGGAATATTAGAACCCTTGCTTCCTCCCGATTTGTTTGGTAAAATTTCAAGTTTATTTTACATATGCTGATGTTTAAAGAAGAGAACATGGAGCAGATTCTTGGTTTTATACCTTTCTGAACCCAAAGAGAAAGCTGGAAGAGTTAAAAATCTTTGTTGTTACTTTTTTCTTTAACATCAAAATATATTTAAAGAGAGGTTGTTTGGTCTTCTGACTTTTTTTTTTTAATGTGGATTTACATTTCCTTTTTGAAGGGAGTAGTTTCTCTTTTCTTTTTAATTTAACTTAAAAATGCTAATCAGTGCAGAAGAAAAAAACAACATACTATGGAAGAAAACAAGCTTTGATTTAAAAAATACATATTATTATTTTTCTCATCATGAGGGTCCATTGGTGTAGCTGTTTTAATATGAAGTTGCGAAGCATATATAGCTCTGTAATATAACCATTTCAAGTTGCTAATAGTTTTGTTTTTTCCTTCTACTACTATTTTTTTTTTTAAGATGTAGTCTTGCCCTGTGGCTCAGGCTGGAGTGCAATGGCATGATCTTGGCTCACTGCAACCTCCACCTCCTGGGTTCAAGCAATTCTCCTGCCTCAGCCTCCTGAGTAGCAAGGATTACAGGCATATGCCACCACACCCAGCTAATTTTTTGTATCTTTAGTAGAGACGGGGTTCACCACATTGGCCAGGCTGGTCTCAAATCCTTGCCTGGTGATCCACCTGTCTGGGCCTCCCAAAGTGTTGGGATTACAGGCATGAGCCACCACGCCCGGTCTTTTTTTGCCTTCTAAGCTCAAGTGATCCTCCCACCTCAGCTTCCTGAATAGCTGTGACTACAGGCATGCACCACCACGCCTGGCTCATTTTTGTATTCTTAGTAGAGACAGGGTTTCACCATATTGCTCAGGCTGATCTTAAACTCCTGGCCTCAAGTGATCTGCCCGCCTCAACCTCCCAGAGTTCAGGGATTGCAGGCATGAGCCACTATGGTCACTAATAAATTTGAAAGCTGTTCAGCAGCTAACAAATACGTTCCTTTTGTTCTAACACTTCACCAGTGCTAGAACTTTCATATATGATTTTTGGTACAGATTCTGGTGTGTTTTTACTTTGTGTGTTTTGCAGCAACAAGAATATCTTAGGACGTGAGTGCCCTCCCAAGGGGCGTTTGTGTGGATATTTAACTTCACCAAGTTGCTAGTTCAGTTAGCACTTCCCTGACAACTGCAATGGAGAGAACAGGGAAACTTAAGCTCTTTTAGAGGAATCTTGAAAATGTCCAGTGATATCTTCTCGCTAGTTCTCTGGTTATGCCATTTCAGTGGGGAATATATGGGGAGTGCGTTTGTCCTCACTCCTTCCCCTGCTCTTTTTTGCTTTGGTTTTAAGACTTTACGTATTTCTGAGAACTGTAGTCATTTCAAATATTAGTTGATACCACCATTTCTTAAATATGTGACTTACAACAAAAAATAGAAAAACTACACATTTCATCTACAGTTTTCTTTAACATAAGCCTGTTCTTTCAACAGACTAGCTCATCAGAATGCCAAAGGTGTTTGTGAGGCTGTTTTCACTCATTAACATCTTGTATATTAAATTTTTTTGTTAGATTTAACTGGTTCAAAAATAAGAGAAAGGCAGATTTTTTCTTCGGTGTGGAGGAGAGCAAAGGAAACAGCTGCCTTTTATTTTAAAGAATTTAGAGTATTTTAAAATTTGGACTATATAAACAGTGAGAGTTCTACAGAGAATTAAATGAAGTAGTATTTACTTTTAGGGGGCTTTATCTAGACTAGAAGGTCTGTTGAAGTGAGGAACTATTTTGTTTCCAAACTGTAGGTGGAATTTCCCTCCCAGAAAAAAACAAAAAACACAAAACACACAGGATCACTCTCTTAGATAACCATTGTGCAATGATCCAAATCAGGAAGCTAACACCAACACATTATTTTATTAGCTAATATGTACATCTTACTCAGATTCTGTCAGTTGTTCCAATCAGGCCTTTGTAAAATGTTTTCACATCTGTTGTCAGGTCTCATGTGTTTGGATGGTACCTTAGTCTTTGTCTTTTATAACTTTTTAGTTTTGAGAACTGGTTGGTTATTTTACAGAACGTCCCAGAGTTTGAGCTTCTCTTATGTTTCAAGATGATTAAATTCTATGTAAGTATTTTGTGCAGAAATCTACCGGAAGTGATGCCCTGTTTTCTGTGCATCGTATTAGGAGACATATGCTGTTGATTTGTCTTATTACTAAAGTGTTTTTTTCTTTTGTAATTAATAAATATTTTATGGGGAGATATTCTGATGCTATGTATTTTGTTACTCCTAACTTTTACCTACGTTTAGCATCCATTTATGATTGATTCTTGCTTGAATTAATCATTACTGTAATGATTGCCAAATGGCAATTTTCTAATCAACATTTCTTTTTTACTGGTTAGTTGGCATCTCCTTTAAGGAAGAGCTTTCCTTTTTATTTACTTGTTCCTTCCTTCATTCACATCAGGCTGGACTCATGGATTCTCATTTTTATTCAGTGGGTTTTAAATACAATTTTATTTGTACTGATACCCTTGAAATTTTTGAACAGATCAGTCGTTGTGAGAGAAACTAATAAGCTGTTTCCCCAAATTCTAGGGATGTAAACTTTGCACCCAGTGTGTTTTTTCTTCTGGATCTTGTTCTGCGTGGAATCAGTTTGATGGTGGTCCTCACTACTCCCAGTCATACATGGCTTAAGAATGTGATGGTTTAGGAGCATAATGCATGGGAGATACTTCCTGCTGTATTTGAAAGTTAAAATGTAGAAGTTTGATGTCTGGTCCAAAGGGCGAGGCACGGACCTCCCCGGACCCAAGCAGGTTAGTGGCCCCGGGCGGCCTCCCGTTGGAGGCGCTGGGATAGAAAGCGCGGCGCATTCGTAAGTGCTTGCGCGTAGTTCCTCCTTGTCCTGTTGAAGTTGCTCTTGGGGTCCGTAACGCGCGGTGGTCTTTATGTTTCAGCACTCTGCTTTCCACGCCACACGCTTTACATTTCTCGACTTTAGATTTCGTGAGCAAAATGGTCCCATGTTTTATTTTTTCCCGTGCGTGGGCCGTCGTGGGGCTTTAAACAGGAAGCTGTGACAGCACCCGGGCTCCGCTGGCCGTCACCTGGCCTTCCTCGCCCCTCGCCCGGCGCCGCGGGTGCGGTCCTCCCTCCAGCAGAGGGTTCCGGGCGCCGGCGCGGCCCGCTTGGGGCCGGGAGCCCTTCCTGCTGGCCGGGTGCGCGCGGCGCCGCCGACAGCTGTTTGCCATCGGCGCCGCTCCCTCCCTCGTCCGGGTGCGCGCCCCGCCCCCGCCAACAACCGCCGCTCTGATTGGCCCGGCGCTTGTCTCTTCTCTCCCCGCAGCCAATCGCGCCGGGCGAGGAGCTCCTGGTCTGGTACAATGGGGAAGACAACCCTGAGATAGCAGCTGCGATTGAGGAAGAGCGAGCCAGCGCCCGGAGTAAGCGGAGCTCCCCCAAGAGCCGGAAAGGTAGGAGCCCCCCGGCCCGCCCGCCCGCCGGGCCCCGGCGCCACGCCCGCACGCGACGCCGCCCTGCCGCCCCCGCCGCTGCTGGCCTGACCGCGAGGCGGGTCGCGGGCGCGGACGGCGGCGCCCGCGGCGTCTTAGTGACCTTTTCCGGACTCGGCCCGGCCCCGGCCCTGCTCCCGCCCCGCGGTCCCGCTCGGGCCCTGCGATCGCCGCCCTCCTGCCCGGCCGGCCCGGCCCCGCTGCTGAATCACGGCCGCCCCTCGCTCGGGCTGTTTTCTAACTTGTGACTTAGAGCCCTGGCTGCGGAAAGTGCGCGGACGTCTCTCCTGGGCCGGATGCTCTCCCGCGGGCACCCCGAGCCGCGCTCCGCATCCGCGCGCACGGCGGGCGCCCGAGCCTTCTCCGGGCCGGCCTGACAGCACTGCTCCTCAGACTCGGGCCCGCAGCTCAGGACGCGGGCTGCGTCGGCCGCGGAGTCGGGGCGGGGGAGTGGGGGAGGCAGGGGCAGAGACAGACACAGAGACAGGAGGCGGCGGGGAGGGCAGGGAGGCTGCGGGCGCGGTGGGCTTCCGAAAGGATGCCCAGGGGGTTGTGGAAGTTAGAGAGCGTGTTGTTCTGTCGTTTTGACGCAATTCTCATAGTTTTACGACTTCTGATGATTTCGAACAAAAGGTAAAGTGTAGTCACACTTAAAAAGGGAGGGGATAATTTCTGGGTAGGAAAATAGTTTGGTTGGCTGTATCATATTTCCAGCTGGCATACTGACACGTTGGGACTTTTTTTTTTTTTTTTATGAAGAATTTTAATGTGAACTCAGGAATCGGTCATAGATTCCAGTTTGAAAATACGCCAGGGCACGGTATGGTAGTTTCTTATTGATACAAATACAGGTTTTTGGTTTTTTTTCCCTCACCTTAAGTCTTAAGTAAATTTTTTAGTCATCTGAACAAACAGGTCCATCCTTTACCCTACATTGCAAAGTGAGTTGTGGAAGATACAGTGTAATTAAAATCATACCTTAAACTCGATTTGGGAAAATATTAAAATCGTCATTAAGGAATGTGGGCAAGAAGTCTGTTTTGATTTTTCAAGTATGTATTCTTTGTATATCACGACGAAATGGAAATACACAACTCACCCATGGAACAGTTGGTAGGCCTTTTACTGAATATGCATTGTCTATTTATTGATGTGATTTAGTCACTGCTTTAGAGTGTTAAATGCTTTTGATCCTGAATCAGATGATCAGAGTCTAGAAAGTTCCCAGTTTTTTTTGTTTTTGTTTTTTAACTTTAACTGGGTACTGGGATTTTGTTATTAGGCTTAGTGCTTAATTGGCTGCAATGAAAACTTTTTATGTAATTCAACTTGTTCCTTTATTTTGTATTCATTTTGTTTAATGTTACCAGCCTTCCAGGTAAGTTGTGATATGTAGGGGGCTGGAGATGGGGAGGACAGAACTCTCTTTACTGTGCCACTAATCGTAACTAACTCATGTACTTAAATAGATTTGTAGTTTAATAGCAACCTCAGTTTAATGCTTTTCTCTGTTTGGCATACTTTGGTGTGCATGTTTATTAGAACATACATCATTACTCTTTTGCTTTTTTTTTAATCTGTAAATTTATCTTTCTGTTAGTTGGATGTGGGGAAAACTTGAACATATACTTTTTGCTGTATTAGTGATGTGTGAACTTAATATCTGCAGTTTTATACCTGCATAGGCGGCTGGTGTTTTATATTGACTTAAATAGTTCATATTATTATTCTATTATTTTGTACTATTCTGGGCAGCCTATAACCCAGAATCCTAGGTTTTAATTAAAAGACTTACGCAAAGCTCACTCTTGGAACTTACAGCCTGTTTTTAACAGCTTACTGGTAAAGAGACCTGTTTGCTCTCTAAGACTTAAACTTTGAAGTGTTTAAATAATGAGTCAAAGCTTTTTTTACTTTTAAATAAGTACTCAGAACCAACTTATAGTTTGCAAAGACCTGAAATGGAGATTTTAAAATATTAACTCTATTTAGGTTTTATATGTGACCTCAAACATTTAAATAATATCTTTTCAAGTAGTGATGTCAGAGAGTGAATCAACATAAATGTCATTCAGAGGCAATGTTAACTTGGTATTGCTGAAAGCTGCATGTTGAATACATGCAGTGGACAGGTAGATTGACAGTGGGCCTGACTTCATTTTCATTCTGAGACAGAGAAAAACAAAGGGCTGAATTCCTCATAGTTCTGGACCTCAGCTTCTTTGCATGACAGCTGCTATGCTTACAGCTGTGCGTTGCATGTGGTGCCTTTCAGAATTCATCAGATCGCTGTTGGATTATAGGCTTGTTTGGGCAGGGCAAAGCCCTAATTTCTTTACATCCAAAGTAGTGGACCCTTCTCCTCTCTCCTCTCATCACCTCTCCCCCCATCTCCTCCCCTCCCTCCCCCATATTCATTCATTCATCTAATGTTTGTTTAGCCCATGCTGTGTGCTAGGCACTGTGCTCTGTTGTACCGCACAGTGATGAGCAAAAAGGCAGCAGTAACTTCTCAGGGCGCCTGTAGTCTCTTGGGGGAATCATCTTTAAATCAGTAAATAGCTGATCAGCGCCTAGATGGTTGGCACGTAGTGGGCCCTCAATAAATATTCATTGATTGGCAATGACTCACACAAATGTGTTGAAGGAAAAGAAAGCAGTGCTGTGAGAACACAGTTCATATTGTCTGCGACCATGGAGCATGCAGTTTTGCCCATGGGCCAAAGATGGGCATACATCAGACATTTTAAACTAGAGTTTAATTTGGATTCTCAGCTTTGTGATCTTCACTTTTTACATATCTGAGCAGCCTCTGTAAAATGGAAAACATGTTACTTGAATGAAATAGATTAAACTTTCAGGTAGAGAGCAAGGAGGGTTTTTAGTGTCAGGTGTTTCAGGTTATTTTAATGTGAACCATAGAAAGATCACAATTATAAAATGGCATAGAAACGGTCAAATTTAGAAGTATTTCTCATCTTCTTGATCTCTGTCCCGTTTGTTTTGGCGAGAAATGAGAAATTGAATTTGCTTGTTAGCAGTAAGCAATGACTGTTGGCAAATGCTCTTTCAGAATGTAGACTATCATGGCAGTGTTTTCCCTGCTTTCTCAGCTGCATAAGAGCCTTACCTGAAGTTCTTTTAACCTGGAGAAACAGCAGTGGCTTTCTACAAATGGGCTTAGTGGAAGGAATGAAAAACGGGATGCCTGGGTGTTTACCAGGTATGCGATTTTGAGCAGCTCATGTCACCTCTCCGAGACGAAGTTTCCCTAGCCTTAAAAATGAATATCATAACATCGATGATACTTGTGCCACCTAACCTCACAAAGTTGTCAAGAGCAAGTGAGATAATAAAAACATGCTCTGTGAAGCCGTGGGCTCTTGGAAATGTAAGTACCACGTCTCAGAACAGGGTTGGCATTTACTTCCCTGCTACTTGCGGAGGAACTACTGACTTGGTGACTCATTTATTCAGTGGGGATTTATGGAGCACCTGTGGAAGCTCAGAATAAGCGTTGGGTCTCTTCTTTCCCTCTTTCTTCCTATGTCACAGCCTCATTCTGTGCTGTTTCACCCTTGTTTTAGGTCTAGTTCTAACCTATTGACCTTACTGTTCACAGCAAATTAGGAGAAAATAGTTTATATTTATAGCAGCAGGAAGTTTTATACCTGAAAGCTGGACATTGAAGAAAACAAAGTTTATAACAAAAATCAGCAATGAATAATAAAGAACAGGTTTTGTAAGGTCATTTAATAGGTTCAGGTAGTGCTTCATAAAAACCTTAAGTAGTGCCTGAGAATATCAACTAGTTTATAAGCATTTATCTCCATGACTTTGAGTCACCACAGAACAGTTAAATTATAATCAGCTTAGCAAAGTGATATTTTATCTGTCTTTACCATCAGAATTGTTTAAATTAAAAACCTTGGTACTGTGAAGAACTCTAAAGTCTTTTGAAATTGTATATATTTGAAATTCTTCAGTAAAGGTGTTGAATAACAAGCCTTTAGAAATTTAAAATTTAGGGAGATAAGAGAGCCATATGCAAAGATAACTCAGTCTAAGGTACTTTTTTTTTTTTGAAGTGCTAAACAGATGGTACAGGCAGTAAGGACTGTTGCCCTCCCTAAGAGGAGGAAAAAGGGATGCTGAGCTGGGCTGGGCTGGCTAGGGAGACTTTATGTAGAAAGGGTGGCAGGATGGGGACATTTCAGAACAGAGAGAGGAACAAGAAGGACGTTAAGTGGAACCTTGGGGGCTGAGAAGTTGTAACTGTGTGGATGGTCTTCCTCTCTGTTATTTAACATGTATTCCGTGCATCTGTGTCAGGTGCTATTCTAGGGGCTGGAGTTTCAGCAAAGAACTAAAATGAGAAGGGTACCTGTTCACATAGAATCACGTTCTGGAGAGTGGGGGACTGCAGGCCAACAGATGAAGTAGGCATGCCTTGTAATGTCAATAGTGTGTCATAGGGTAGGTTGTATGGCCTGACTGTTGGTGGGTGGCTAGGGGTGACCTTTCTGAGGTTGTGACATAAATGACACAGGAAGTTCTAGGGGTTGAGGGCTCCAGGAAGAGGGACCCAGTTCTATTAGCAGTTCTACTCATTATAAAATAGCTTACATGAGTATATTCGGAGTATGAAACTTAGTTCTGCAAATGGACGTACATTGGCCCTTTTTCTGCCAGGTGCTGCACCAAGCTGCTGGGTTGGTTGGTGGGGAGAGGAGAGATGACTATAGCAGGTACCATCCTCCTCCAATGCGGAGTCTCCAGGTCCGTTTCATTACCGCCACGTGCAGGTCAGACTTAGTGGGTGTTCTGGTTGGTGAGGGGGAAGGAAATGGGCACTTCCAAAACTGGAAAACTTGACCAAGATTCCCCTACCAATGAGTATCACAGTCCAAATTTGAACCAGGTTTTCCATACCTTTTCTTTATATAATATGCAGCTTTTTGTCTACATGCGGTTGGCAACAACAGAAGTGACAACATTGGTTCCATTTAAAGTTGAAATTAGAGAATACATTTAATAAACGCAGAGTGGTTGGGCTTCCATGGAGTTTGATCTCCTAACCTTTCCTGGCAGCTGGCAGCTCTGTTTCAGACTACAAGCTGAATGACAGAGGCCTGTGTCTGAGGATGGGCCTTATGCCTACGGGGTGCTTGGTGGGCAGGTTGTGTGCCCACTCACAGGGCACTGGCCTGGTGTCTGAGGATGGGCCTTATGCCTAATGGGTGCCTGGTGGGCAGATCGTGTGCCCACTCACAGGGCACTGGCCTGTGGTTCCTGTTTGCAGGTGCTGGAGCAGGAAGTGGAGAACTTGGACATAGCAGCGTTTCTGTGTCTGGCTTTATGCTGGCAACCTTGTGGTGTTGGACACAAATAAGCTGCTTCCGGGTTGGTCAGTCTTAGAGGGGCCTGTCTCTGCTCTAGCTTTCTGGCTGCCTCCTGAGGGTGCCTTTGCTGAGCATTGAATGTTCTGTCACTGGTGGTTGCTTGCCAGGATGAACTCTCTGCTGTTGTTGTGGTGGTCTGTTTTTAAAAGCTCAGTACAGTTTTAATTAGTATTTTTTCAACAGTAGGAGTTAGGGAATTAAAAAAAAAATGCAGTTCTGCTGCTGCTGCTGAATTGCTCCAAACTGAGATAAAAATGTTGGTCAGTATTTTCATTTTGTGCCTTTGATTCTTATAATCTATCCTTGTTCACAGGGAAATTATGTGGACTAAAACTTTTCAAAGCATTTTGCAAATTTCTCACCAGTATTTTAGTGGGTGAATTTGCAAAAATCCTAACATATGCCATGATTAAAAAGTTTTAAACATCGTAATTATGTGTATTGGGAACCACGCTGTGCTCTATTTTTAGGTTATTTTGGTTTTGTCCATATGTAAATTGGAAAGTGAGACTTCCTAATACAGAAAAAAGGTTTGATTATGATTACATTTTCTAAAGGATACAAAAGAGGTAACAAGACCCTTATATTTAGTTCAAAATACTTTAGTTGATTTTTACAAATCCACTTATAATTTGAAAGTAAAAAACCCCATTTCCTGTGCTTTCCTTCAATATGAACACTAGGTTCGTTTTCTAAATTATGAATTTTTATTTAGTTTCATGTTTCAGTTTACAGATAGCTGTTACGATATTCAAACTAATGTTCATAGGAGTATTACAGAGAGGAGGGTGTAGTTTTTTATTTTATTAGAAAAAAACTTTTAAAGTTTATTTATTTATTTTGTAGAGACAGGGTCTCTCTGTGTTGCCAGATTGGACACCAACTCCTGAGCTGAAGCCGTCTTCCTTAGCTTCCCTAATAGCTGGTATTACAGGCATGCAGGGTGGAGTTTTGTATTTAAAGCTGCCTCTAAAGAATTGAGGAATTGGATAAATATCCCAAAAACACCATTATGGAGGTTAAAAATGGACATTTCTTTTAGTTAAAGGTTGTATGGGGAGCTGGAGTTGAAGTTTCAAGTAGACTGGCATGGTACTTTGTAGGCAATAGATTGCTTGTTTATATTTCACATGCTGCCAGGCACAGGCCTTGACTTTTATTTTGACCATTCATCTGGCTGACAGTGTTTTATTAGTGTTCATAATTTGGTTGAAATAGTTTAGAGGAGCTGAATGACGTGGAGAAGCAAAAGTTAGTTGAAAATGCTATTGTTTCTTTAAGTGAAAAAGAGAAATACTGAAAGTAGCTGTTTTTCTTTTAGCCACTCAGATTAAACCAGTTTTCATACATTACAAGAGTTCTTGGCTGAATTTATTTATACAGTGTATTTTGATATGGACGTATGTCATGCCTTGACACTTATTTGCACGTCATGTCATGCCATGAATCACTCATTTCTATTGATGGTGACAATGACAGCAATTATCCTTGTTTCTAGCATTGTGCTGGTTGCTCTGTGTATACTATGGCTAATCCTCCCAATAACACTGCAAAGTTGAGGTCAGTTATCATCAGTTGTAGAAGAGGAAACTGATGCTCCAAGGGGCTACATGCTTTGGCCAAGTTCACATAGGTCCCAAATTAAAGGCTCAGTCTTACCTAAATCCAGTTTTCATGCATGATGTTTCTAAGTAGGACACATATACTGTCTAAGTTGCAGTGTTTTATTTACTTTACTGACTAGCCAAGGTGAATTTTCACTGCTCACCGTAAGAAGTGCCTACTTTAAATAGCAAGACTGTGATTAAGTGAAGTCTTTGGTGTAGGAGAGATCAGTTACGGTGACACCTTCGGTTATTTTTGCTTTGGAGATTTATGAATTGCATAGGTGTGTTGCATTCCTTTGAGCACCCCAGATAAACAGTTTTTAAAAACACAGATTGAGTTTTTACTCCTTGCTAGCTGTTGTCTGTCAAGTGTTTTTTAAATGACATATTTGTTGTTCTAGGTTTCTAATGAATATTTTCTTTCTCTTAGGTTTTATATTATTTTGCCGTTAGTTTTGAAACCAAAAGAGCACAGTGAGACAGACATTGCTTTTGCCCAGCTCCCTCTGCAGTGCAGAGGATCGAGTCTAGGATTATAGAGCTCCTTCATTTTGTCCTATTGATGAGAAGCCGATGATTAGCTTTCAGCTTGGCAGCACTGGTCTTGTGTTGAGACTGGCTTAACAGTCTGGCTGCTCTACCAATAAAAGTATACATTTTAAAGTTTTCTTGAGCTGAATGTTATAGATAATGAACATGCTTTAATTAATGTGCGCCCTAAAGATTATTACAGAAACTGTAAGTACAGTTCTGATTTGTTTGTAGATATAATTGAGTTACATCATGCTTGCTAGTTTTTTCAATTTTAGGAGGTGACATTTTGTTTTTTATTTGTTTTGCCAGAAAGTTTATTTGTCGAGTGGGATAGCTTTTTTTTTTTTTTTTTTTTTTTCATTTTTTATTTAAGAAGAATACACTTAGCCGGGCGCGGTGGCTCAAGCCTGTAATCCCAGCACTTTGGGAGGCTGAGGCGGGTGGATCATGAGGTCAAGAGATCGAGACCATCCTGGTCAACACGGTGAATCCCCGTCTCTACTAAAAATACAAAACATTAGCTGGGCATGGTGGCGCGTGCCTGTAATCCCAGCTACTCAGGAGGCTGAGGCAGGAGAATTGCCTGAACCCAGGAGGCGGAGGTTGCAGTGAGCCGAGATCGCGCCATTGCACTCCAGCCTGGGTAACGAGGGAAACTCCGTCTCAAAAAAAAAAAA